AGATATATATCTATATATCTATATATATATATATATATATATATAGATATATAGATATATATCTATATATCTTACAAAAACAAAAAAACTCATAAAATACATCTTTTAAAAAAAAACCTCACCCTTCCACCTTCACCTTGACTTTACACGTGGTAAAGAGAGCGACCACCCAACCAACAGAAACATCACACCCTGATAAATAAATAAACAAAATGCATTAAGACCGTCACGTTCAGACACGCAGAAACAGCAAGAAATGACAATGACAAGAGAAATGCCCGTACCAAGGAGATGAATGCTTAGAACAAAGAACAACAGTCAGAGACTAAATAATCTAAACTTTCTGCTACACGGACTCGGGTGACATGAGGGCTGGAGGCTGCTCTCTGGAGTTTCAGTTAAACTGTGACTGCTGCTACTTCAGCGTTAAAAGTAGAAATGGTTTTAAACAAAACTTTACTACCATGGTAATATAGTTGAGGATGTCTATGCGCAGTATGTGTGCAACCTTTGCCTGTGTGTGCATCTAGCATCCCACAGCATTGCCGTTGACCTCCGTGTTCCTGACCAGGAGGGGGCTCCGAGGGGCCGGGGCGGACGGGTCTGTTAGAGAGGGAAGACGGATGCGGGGCGGCTCCATGGAGTTCCCTCTGATTGTGATGTGATCCCATCCACCCTAAAAGACAGGCGGAGACAGAGAGGGAGAAATTAGCTCTGGCCATTTATCTTTGTTGGCAGGTAAACCTATTTACCATCTGGCTTTAAGCACTTAAACTCATTTCAAACGAATACATTTTTATTGTTTTTTATCTGCTGTAATTTGCTCAGGTTAATATGTGAAAAACTTACTTGTTGCAAAGTCAAAGGAAACACCTGATATTCACTTGACTGTTAGTTACAATGACAATATACTTTTAGCCGAGTGCTGGATATTCTGGTTTTCAAAGCCAAAGATGTGACCGCATGTTCAAGAATGTCAACTTATAAACAACCAATACATTTTAAGACACTTTCAATTTTCCTCCATTTCACTCACACTTTCATTAAAATAAACACTTCAACTCCAACTGCGTATGATGAAAACATTGCTGCATTACATTTGCTGCATTTAGCATGGTCTTACTTCATCTCTTCATTAAACGTTTCTGAGACTCTGTATATTTATAGTCCAGCATGAGTGGAAAGGATGGGGTGTTGGGTAAGGCGAGTTCAATGAATGTGTGAGCTATTTCTGATTGCAAAATCAAGTTCATAACTTGGTAAACAGATAAAAGAGATACACCCCTTACCCCAATGCCGTAGTCCCACAACTGTCCTTTGGGCTCCATGGGTTGGACTCCGAGTCGATGGCACACTGTCCCACAGCTCAGACTGTGGCTGCCCTGCACCTTGTCTGCTATGATCCACACCTTCACCCCCACAACAACAAAACAACAGAAAATACTCACCAAACAACATAAAAGTATCACAACATTGATCATCTTAACTCATCACTGCATTTAGCAATTATAGCAATAAGCCACACATTTCGAATAACGAAATATATTTTAAATCAATAGTTCAAGTTGCATCGGTTCCACGTGTTGGCAGCTTCAAATGAAAGGAGAATAAATGTCAAATCTGAGCTTCAATAGTCAGAAATCTTGCGATGTATCATCCATACGCCGTCTACAACAAGCTCGTGTTTACCAACCCAGCCGGCCACGATGCTTCATACCACAGAAAATCAAAAAGGCACAGAACTGCTGAATTAATGTGCCGGCTATCACATCCACATCAGTTACACAAATGTAGAGGCAAGTCTTCTGGTAAATATCCTGGTACCCACCTGGTCCAGAGGCCCTACAGAGACCTTGCGAACATTATTAGAGATGTGTTCCCAGGAGGAGCCCTGGGGGTAGCTGGGGGTCACACCCTGTCTGTACCACAAGTTTCCTAGACAGGAAATTGCCACATCACAGACATGATCAGAGTGAGTCTACCAAGAAACATAAAGTCTCTCAAAAGCATAATTTAAAAAAAAAAAATAGAATATATTAGGTTTCCAAAAATGTAAGTGCTAAATACAAATGCATTTTTGCTTCACCATTTTCATCTACAGTGTAGACTGATGTCCTCCCGACAGACACCTGCTTTAGCTTCTGTTTGGCCGGGGAGGGGATGTGGTACCAACAGTCTCCTGCAGAGGGAGACACAACACAAACATAATACAACAGCAGTAAAACTCAGGTCTGTTTGTAGCATCAGAGGCTGGCAGCTTCGACTTCCTTAACTCTTCTCATTTTAAATAAATCTTAATGTTTCTGATTCCAAGTTGACAGGGACGGATCACAGTTTCTCCCACTGACCTGCAGGGCTCTGAGGAGAAACAGATCCCCGATAAAAGGCAGAACCGTCCTTTGCAATGGCCCAAACCTGGCTGGCACCACCGATGGAGACGGACTTGAAAGGCTGGTCAGTTCCTACGTGGAGCCACGAGGATCCCTGAGCGACCAACAAGAGGATGTTAGAACAATTACTTCTCAAGTACCTCTTAGACTGTTTTTGTACTGGAAGTGTCTTTTCATTGTCCATATTTAGCTACTTATGAACAGGAATCAGACATAAAAATATTCTTCTGCAGTCCTGTATCAAAGTCTTCCATGACTTCAGTCCTGATGGGCTAAAGATAATTAGAGGATCCCACACACTGTCCCAATGAGGGGCGATGTGGTAACTTGAACTAATGTATTCTACATTCGTGATGCGAGCAGGAAAATGCCAGTGAATGTTTATTGATGACTCACCAAAGTGGTGCAAAACCTGTTCATGTCTGCTTGCATATCATTAATGTGACTCACAGCAGGTGTCAGTGCGGTGACTCCCAGTCGGCAGAGCACGTCTCCCTTGTTGCTGATCGCCCACAAAGGAACCACGTCCACGCTGCTCTGAGCGGCACACGGCAGGATGGTCACGTCACTCAGTGGGATGGGTGGGATTTCTTGCCAGGGTCCTGTAGTGGTCAGTTTACATTTCCTGTGCAGGAGGAAAAAAATAAATACAATTGCTCACATGTGCCCTGAACTGTAACATCTGCAGCTGAAGAAGCTGCTGGAGTGGGAGGTGTGGCAAATGACGCAAATCAAACATCAATCATTGTAAATATGTTTTCTCTTACTGTGTCCAACACCTCCACATATATGTCACATCAAATATTCAATACTATTTAAAGATCTATAGTAAAAACCTTGTGATTAGGACGTCACATTAACAATATGTTTTC